AGGAGGGATCAGGTGTGGCCCATGCCCTGCCCTCCAGTATTCTCCCATGACGGGCTGGGACCGTGACACCCCCACAGTACTTTTGCTAAGGGACTGGAGAGAAATGCAGGCTAACCTCGGACCCCCCGCTACCAGGACTGGCGCACATGATCGAGGTTATGTCAGGCTGGCTCTCCTGGGCCCACACTGTGAGATCCATTTGGCTGACACCAGGAAAAGCTCCAAGTGCTTCCTTAGACCGGTGACAGGACTGTCCTGGGCTTGGATGGTCTTCCTGCAGCCGGGCACGGCCTCCCATGGCTGGGAAGCTGGCCTCTCAATTAGGCTAAAGGCTGGCTGACTCAGATCTTGGGCAATTAGGAGCACCAGGCCTCTTTAATTAACCAGCCAGCCCCTCTCCGGTTCTACTACGGCCCGGGAAATGAGGCCAGGTGTGTGAGTACAAGTGCATGCGCAGGCCCAATTACAGAAGCCCCAGCCCCAGGGCTGCCGCGCCTCCCGCCCGCATGCTCGTTAGCTTGTGGCTGCTGGACACTGTCAGGGATCTTGCCGCAGAGACATCAGTGTCCCCAGGAGCGCCTGAGGATCTGTCCCCCTCCCCCCACCCTCACAGGTCTGGCTTGGATACTTCCAATGACAGGGGTCTCCCCACACCTTTTCTCTTCAGCCTTCCCAAGCACACCCCTTCTGGTGTTGGGAGACTTGCTCCTCCGGACAGCTCTCCTGGTTGCTAAGCCCTGGGAAGCCAGGTCCCGACAGCAGTGGGTGTTACTCGGAGGGCACTGCCCATCTGCCTTGACAGCCAGGTCCTGGGGGAAGAACTCCCCCTCTCCTGGCTTCCCCTCGCCCCGAGTGAGGCATGGACTGTGTCTGGGTGCTGCATGTATGAACCGCTGCCACCTGCACGTTAACTGGGGTCCCTGCCAGCTCGACACTGATACTGAGAGCTGCAGAGGTATCCAAGCCCTCAATTTAGTTACATAAATTTTGGAAAACAAAAGACAAATGATGGCAGCCTCAACATAAGGCTCAAGCAAGCGCCAGTTCTCCTTCCTAGGCATGGTGGTGAGCTCGACTCAGCATTCCAAAAGCAGAGGCAAGAAAGGCTGACTTTGAGGCCAATGTATTGAATATGGGCTACATATTGAGACTCCACTGTAAAAAAGAGAGAGAAAAAACCCAACAAGCAAGAAGACTAAATAAGCCAGAAACCATAGCATGAACTCTAATAAGGAAAGCATAGGATATAATAGACTGAATTGGGCCCCTCCAAATCACAGCGCTCAACTCCAAATCCCATTATGCCTATATTTGTGACTATATATATCCTAAGTGTGAGGCTCTATCTGACATGATTAATGTCTGTAGAGAAAGAGACATCAGGGCCTGTGCCATGTGAGGACCTGGACATAGGGGAAGCCACCCATCTGGCAGGCCAGGATTGGCCAGTTCCCAAACCATGGGGAGATAAAGGTGTGTTGTTCAGGCACCTGGTCCCAGCTGGCTGCTCTGTGGCATTGCTCTGTCTCCATGAAGGTCAGGCCAGGCTCTGTGGCAAGTGTATAGTCTGAGCAGGGAGCTCCGGGGTGGCCCAGTCAGTGACAGGGCCCCCTGCCTTTGCTGGGTGCTGGTGACTGGCCAGACTTGAAGGGAGTCCCTGCACCAGCTAATCCATACCCACCTGGTGCCGATGGCCGCTTGTGACCCTGTCTTACAGAAATGAAGGCCCAGAGAGGTGAAGCATGTTTTACCAGATCTCTCCATGACAGCCAAGCTGGGAACGCAACCCAAGCTGTCCTACAGCTCTGGCACCTGTTTCTGCTTTGAGGGAGGGAGAAGAACCCCTCCCCATGGCCACACCCAGGCAGCCAGTTGCCCCAGGAACCGCCCAGGGCTGGTGTGGGAACAGCACACTGACAATGGGGCAGGCCAAGTGGCCTCTCACTCTGGCCCCTGCAGGCTAGGCCTCTTCATCCGGGAACCCTTACTTACAACCTCCAATTCTTCCCCATCTGTTTAGAATACACGAAGACACCAATGCCCTGTTAGTACAGGGTCTCTGTCCCCATGATGCCTTGTCCCTAAGCCCTTCACTCCTCTAATGGCAGCCATCACCACCAAGCTGGAGTGGTTCAGTGGTTAAGAGCACTGGCTGTTTTCCCAAAGGACTGGGGTTCAAGTGCGGGCAGCTCCATGGTGGCTCCCAACTGTAACTCCAGCTCCAGAGGATCTGCTGCCCTCTTCTGGCCCATGCAGGCACTGCATCCACAGAGTGCACAGACACACATAAAAGGCAAAACACCCAATACACAACCACAAAATACACAACCGCCTCTTCTCAGTATTCCGTGCCATGCTTAGTGCTCCATGTTATCCTCTTAAACACATAATAGAATTCTAGTTCCTCACCTGGAGTTACGAGACTCTGTGGAGCCTGGCCCAAGCTCATCCCTAGCTCCCCCTGTTCCAGAGAGTTTCATTAGTTCCTGAAGCCCTGCTGGTTCTTCCTCAGAGGCTTTGTGCCTGCAGAACTGCCCAGAACATATTTCCATCCAGATCCCCTCAGTTCAGAGAAGCCTCCCTTCACAGACAAAGACACATCTCTCTCTCCACTCGGTACAAAGCCCTCAGTCTTCCTGGTATCATTTTATGTTTGCTTGTTTAAAATTTGTTTGTTGTCCCTTTTCTGCCCTCCCTGGAAAACAGCCTGAATGAGAGCAAGGGTTTTTGTCTGTCCCCTAGAACCAGCCTGCACACACGGACCCTTCTCTACTAGTTAAAGAATGGCCAATGGGGTGCGGTAGCGCACACCTTTGATCCCAGCCCTTGGAAGGCAGAGGCGGGGTGAATCTCTGTGAGTTGGAAGCCAAGAGTTTCAGAACAGCCTATACAGAGAAACTCTGTCTTGAAAAACCAAAAAATTAAAATAAAATAAAGAATGGTTACCTCTGAAGTTTCCTAAGGACAGACGAAGAAAACCCTCCCAAGCCTCCCCATACCCTCATCTAGCTAATATTCACCTCCCCTCTCCCCTTTGTCCTCACAAGTCTTTGCCAGGACAGCACCCAGTCTCCTTCCCACTGGCAGAGTAAGAACAATCATGGAAACATCCTCCAGTGGTGACCAGCCCAATCTCAGGGTACTGGGCAGTGGGGGAGGTGAGTCTGGAAGAAAGTCCTGAATCTTCACCCTAGCCCTCACCCAGCTGAGGCCCTCCCTGGGATCCTCTCTGCCTAGGCAATGGCTCTCTGAGGAGCAGCTGGCATTAACTCTTTGCTAACCAGGGGCAGCAGCTTGCTCTGTGGCAGAGGCCGGGAAGTTCCCTGTCGGGTACAGCCATGGGACTGCCTTCCATGGCCCCACAGGCCTGGAGTCGTGCGGCAGAGACAGGAGGAGGAAATAGGCTGAGGCCGCAGGGTCAGAAAGTACAAGTCCCCAAACATCGCCCACCTGCCCCATTCCTGGGAGCAAAGCATTCCCAGGTTCCTACACCGCCACCTGTGCAGTTTCTAGTTTGGGCTGAAAGAGGAAGCAGCACACCTCTGCTGTGCTTGGACGATCAGGGTCCAGGGTATCAGGTGACACCCTTCAGACTGGTATCACCAAGTACTAGAGGGGGCAAAGACTGAGCCTCCAGATCCTGGCTTTCCCACTTACTCACTTTGGCTAATGTTTAGCTCTGGAGCGCCATGGCAAGGCTGTAAAAGCCTTAATGTTTCAAGTCCATGTTTCGGGCTCCAGCACGTATTCTCTACAGTCCTCTCAGGGACCATCACCCACCCCGCCCCTAGGCTTACATCCTCTGTTATTTCTTCCCAGAATTGGTTATCTCTGAAACCATCTTATAGTTGATTATGGCTTGTCATTTTTTTTTGCCGTTTTAAGAGTGAAGATTCTTTTCTCTGTCTTCTACACTTTATGAACTCCAAGCTAGGAGCTGAAGAGACGGCTCCATGGCTAAGAGCACTATCTGTTCTTCCAGTTCAACTCCCAGCACCCACGTGGCAGCTCACAACTGTTTGTAAGTTCCAAGGGTTCCAATGCCCTCACACAGACACACATGCAGAGAAAACACCAATGCACGTAAAATTAAAAATAAATAAAATTCAACATAAAGAGAGAGCCCCAAGGTTAAAACAATGACTGAGGTGCGGAAGTAGCTTGAGGCTGTGTGAAGACGGGCTCCAGCAAAACCAGGGTGAAGCCAAAAAGCTCAGCGTCCCTGACCCAGGGAGGCAGCAGAGGGGAGTCGCGTGCTGGCCACTACACATCACAGAGTCCTGGCCAGAAGGGGAGAACGAGAAGAGTTTCTGCCAGGAAGAGAAAAAAATAGCACAGGCTCCATATGATTAGTAAAACTGATGTCTTAAATAAACGAGCATTGCAAGGGACATCATTCTCTGGGAAATAACAAACTAAAGTCGACTATTGAAAAGTCTCGGGCTCATTGTGAAATGATTTAACATATGGCACAGTTGAGTATAAGAAAAGGCGAAAGCCCATTTGATCTTGTGAAGGCCATTCTCCCTGGCGTCACGAGAGTGGACTGCCAGAATGGAAGCATAGCACGGGCTTAGCACACTACGTGGTCCCGAGGAGACGGTGCTCGCTTAACATTTAGGAGCGCATATGTGTGAGGCAAGGCCTTTTGAGCTCTGCATTCAGTGTATCTGGTCCCAGCTCTCTGGAGTACATGTCATAGACGCCCCTGTTTTCCAGATCGAGAGAATGAGGCCTGCGGTACTGCACCACTCTTCTGAGGTCATATGGTTGGCAGAAGAGCTGGATTCGCACCCAGGCTCTCACTCTCCTGGCCAGAGCTAGCTCTAGAAACCTACCATCCAATCTTCAGGCCCTTCTTCCCAAAAACCAAACTATAGCAGCTTACACATAAACGCACACATGCTGGCGCACTGTCCTGAAAACTGGGGTGCAAAGCCACAGGTGGCAAAGCTGACCTGCGCTGGGGGGGGGGTATGGCAGGTCCGAGTGGGGCTTACCTTCCTGCAGTCTTTGCAGAACACGGAGGAGCTGCCCAGGAAGCCCAGCGTCTCCCCGCACAGCAGACACTGGGAGAGGCCGTTGCCCAGCACGTTCCGCTGCATGGTCTCCAGCCGCTCCACCAGCCGCCTGCGGCACGGACACACAGTCAGAGGGGACGTGCTTCCTGGCCTCAACTGAAGGCCACTTGGGCACAGCTGCTATAGGGGGCTAGGCCTACCTGCTGCTCCCTCAACTCACCCCTTCCCCTGCCTAACTCTCTGTCACTCACTAACTAACTGAGCACCTAGGACGTGCCGGGCACTGGGAATATTATAGCAAATAGGCCGGGTACACACATAGTCCCGGCTCCCCTAGAAATTAGGTTCAACAAAGGGGGAAAGTCATAACAAGAAAACAAGTCAAGAGTGAGGGGACAAGAAGAGAAAGGTGAGGGGTCAGAGGCACACTTCAGTGGAGGCCTGGGAAGCCACTTAGAAAGATAACAGAGTGCCAAGAAATGTCCCTTAAGCCAGAGAAGGGCAGGGCTAAGGCAGGCCTGGAGATTTGTGGGTCATGGCCTGGAGTATGGTTTCAGCCTGAAGCCACTGCAGAGTTTGAAGGTAATTTGATCTAAGTGTCTTCTTCTGAGCTCCTGTGGAAAGCTGGGATAATGAGGAGGACTGGGAAGAAAGGAAGCCAGGAGGTGAAGGCAGGAGGCAGTATTTTATGTGGCTACAGCCTCCATGGAACTGTTTGGTTTGTCAGCCACTGTTTCCAGTGTCCATCAGATGATTCAGCAAAAACTCGTGAGTGGATGAAGACCAGCGTGTGGCCACCCCAACCCTTCCCATGGCCACCCCCATCCCCAGGGGGAGGAAGCCACACTTCCTGTTTTTGAGGGCTGAGGCTGAGGAAATAGGAACTGACTTGCTGAGTCATGAAGCTCCCAAGAAGTGGAGCCAGGGTCCCCGTTAATAACAGGCCCCCAATTTCCTGAGGTGACAGGCTGATGCTAAGAGGGACAAGGGTTAGTTAGCTCACCAATGAGGCCACTTCCGTCTGCATGCCTTGCAGTGAGCACCTCTGGTTTCCATACAGTGACACTGATGTCTGTCTAGGGACCTGTAGGGCTCGGGGACAAACACAGTTCTAGCCTGGCTTGACCCATTTGCTCTCGGGAGCCCTCTGTCAGTCCGTGTCAGGTTTCCTCATGTAGAGGACATGCCTCCTTCATGTGAAGGATTCATCTGCAGTACTGGGTCCTTCCACACCCTGAAGCTCAGCAGTTAGGGCACAGACCACAGAGGAGACTTCCTAAGGCAGCACTGGAAGACAGAGGCAGCAGCCTGCTGGCTAAGATCGTCCAAAAGCGCTTCCAGTACACAGACGAGCCTACATGAGGCTCCTGAAACTCACTCCCTGCTCACCATTGCTGGGAGGGGGGCCATGGAGCCCGGGAAGTGGCAGGGGTTGGGGGTATCAATCAGCAGCATTCAAGGTTAGGGCCCTTGGGGAAGAGATCTGTAAGAAGCGAGGTTAGATGAAAGGAAGAAAAACCCAGCTCTTCCGACATAGCCCTCTTTGCACTGACACGATAATGACCTGTCCACATGATTGAGGCTCATACAAGAGGCCGCTGGCGCAGCGGTCATCCTTCTAGTGGGACCATCGCCTTCTAAAGCTGCCTTTCTACTGTGTCTGATTTTTAAAAAATGACCGTGAAGCTAATGGAAAAAGATGAGCAGAAAAAAATAACAAGATCAGAACAAGCCGAGTTCCTGCCCAAAGCGCCACAGTGGAGCCGCATTCTCCTATCCCAGCTCTTCCAAACCAAACAACAATAAAAAGGCACACCAAAACGCTGGATATTAGAGGCCAGGCTGAGCACACCCTGGAGGGCGCCTCCTGCTGGGGCCTCGGATGGGATAATTCAATGGCCAGCCTCCACTTGAGTCTATCCATGGCTGAGCTGCACCTGGCAGGAGGTACACAGAACCCAAATCCAAAATTCTCCTGGGCTCCTTCTCACATTCCTGCCTGGGGTCTTGAATCCACACAACCCCCAGCTCACAGCTGTCTACATTCCAGGGGGCCCGGGTGAGAAGCTGGGGCCTCCCGAGCCCTGCTGACTGGGAGTGGCAGCCCGCAGCCGCCTGCTCACTGCCCTGCTTTCCTGCTGGAGCTGCCGACTGTGCTCACCCAATCCGCTGCTGCTCCAGGATGTCCAGCCGCTCTGCTCTCTGGATGACCTGAAGGATGACCTCCAGCTCTTCGGGGCTCAGGCACTGGCTCCTCCTCTGCTTCTCCGTCTGGTAGGTGTGCACAGACCAGCCCGTCTGCAGCCTTGGGAGAGAGCGGTACCGTGGAGGTGAGATCGCCCACTGCAGCAGTACTGCAGCGCATCCGCAAAGCGCCCATGAGTACAGCGCAGGCACAGCCTGGACACCTGGTCCAGAGTCCATGAGGAGAGTTCCCGTAAGGTGCGGCTGCGTATCCCTCACTGGCTGCCCCTGCTAGGAAGCAATGTGGATCCCCATCCAGGAGAGTCTTGAGGGCCAGGCCTTATGCTGTGTGGCGCCGGCCCCCTCTCGGCCTTTTACGCTGTGCTCCCCTCACACTGTACACTCAAGCCATAGCAGTCTTTTGTCAGGGGCTCTCTGCAGGCCACTGTTCCTTCTACCCCAGGGCCTTTGCGTGTGCTGTTTCTTATGCTTAGAACTTTCCCCGTATCCCATGTAATGCTTCCTGTGTCAACAGTCGCATCATACTCAAAGGGAGTCTTGGTCCTGGACTCAGTTAGTGCCCCGCTCCCATCCTCACTGCCAGTCACTGTCCTTAAAGTAATCCACATCTCTCACCTCTCCCCATCTCCGCTGTAATGCGAAGGACCAAGTGAGTTCAGGCATGTCCAGAGGCACCTGGGTGCCGGGAAGAAGAGTGTGGGCTGGAAAAACTCCCCAGGCTTCCTAGGGGGCCCCCTGGCCTTGGCTCCCGGCTCTGCAGTGGGCATCTGTCCCCCTGTCCCTCAGAGGCACAAAGGAGGACACTCACACCGGCTCTTGTGAAAGGCTGCGCTAGCTCTCAGCAGCTGGAGGAGAAGAGCTGAGATTGGAACTGGAGGGGGCACTGGAGGGTCGAGGGACAGCAGGCTCTCGTACACCATGTGCCCTGACAGGGAGGGCATCTCATTGGCCTTGCATCAGAGGAGATGGTGAGAGGTGCCAGCCTCCTCCCCAGTCATTCTCCCTGCAGGGGTGGGGTGAGGGCAGCTAAGGCACCCAGATGGGGTGGACGAGTCAGTGGTGGAGCAAAGAGGCTCACACGTCACCCGTGACAGCATTCCTCCTCCTAAGCGTTTCAGCTTAATTCTTCTATCCACCTTTGATGTCTCAGCTCCATCCCCCGTAGGCTCATAATGTCTGCGAATTTCTTAAACTTGGTCTCAGTTGGGAAATGCTGGCTCCTCGCACCGACACAGTCTGACAGCTGCAGGGACGTTCCCGACCTATCAGAGCCGTGGACAGCACCCACCCGGGAGCTGAGAGACTGGGAAAAGGGCAATTTTAGAGGCCCAGCCACTCAGTGTGTGTGGGTGGGGGAGGCCCAACCAGAACTGAAGGACCACTAGGCTGAGGGCTAATAGGAAAATCAAGACCCCCAAAGGGACACAAGGGAACCACAGAAGAACAGCAACCCTGCTGTGGGCTAGCTGTGGTCTCTGCTGTTCATCCAGAGGACAGGCCCACGCTCTACGCTGTCCCACTCTGCCAGGCCTAGGAGCAGAGCCAATGAGGAGACCTTGGTCCCTGTGGATTGTTGTAGAACACAGGTATGGGAGCCAGCTGGACTCAGATGAGGGTCCCAATCCAGCCATTCACAAGTGACATGGGCCTTGTTTTCCTTATCTGAGAAATGGGGATACGATAGTTCCACACAGTGGGTGATAAGTAAATACGGGCCAAGAGTGGTGTGTATCTGACAGCTGCCTCTCTCCAAACTTCTCCCTGGGAACAAACCTTGCAAAAGACCGGGAAGAAGGCAGCAGGCGGAGAGGGAAGGGCCACTCTCGCCGGCCACAAAGGTACTTACTTGGCTCGCAGAGCAAGCTGCCGATCATTGGGGCAAACCCACTGATCATTTCCACTGCTGAAGATGGTGTCAGCCATGCTGGGAGCGCAGCCCAGGGCAGGAGTCACATCTGAGGCAAGAGGGAGAGGAAGACGTGTGTCATGGCTGGGGTGCTGATGGGAGCCGGGCCCCTGCTAAGCGCCGAGGCTACACCCGCACTCCTCCAGCAAGGAGGAGGCTCCTCCACAAAGGCTCAGACTCTTGGGGTGAGTGGCTAGGTGTGTCACACGGCTAAGTGGCCAGTGTCACACGACCAGAGACATGCCATCAGAGGGTGGGAATCAGAAGGGAGAGGAGAAGGCATGCCCTCAGCAACTTTCAGCTCAGCTGGCAAGGCCTGAGGAGCATCCCCCACTGCCCTGAGGACACCCCTGAGGGCCAGGCACATCAGGAGATAGCACAGCACAGAGGCATGATCAAGATTCTCCCCACTTTCCCTACCTCCACTGGACCAGAATGGCAGCTTACAGCCCTGGGCTCTGCTCCCTCAGGGATTCCCACCAAAGCCACAGAGCTCTCCAGAGGGCAAGGCACAGGGTAGCCACCAGCACTTCCACCAGGCACAGTTTTAAAGGTCATCCTGCAGGAAGGGACCTTCTCTAGAGCTTGATGGTTCAACATAAGTAGTGTAGCTTAGCCTGCTTCTGTGCGCTCCGGGCAGAGGGCTAACTCAGGCTGCCGATTACAGAGATGCTGCTTATGCCTTCTAAAGGGAGCGATGTGTATGATGGGGAGAAAAAGAGATGAACTTGGACACAAGGATGTGTGTACAAGAATGACCTTGGACTTCACCCAGTCCACTGGACTGCAAATTCAGAACACCTTTATAGTCTACAAAAGAATACTGGGTGGGGGGAGGCTGGAGAGAGGGTTCAGCAGTCAAGAGTACTGACTGCTCTTCCAGGGGACCCAGGTCTGATTCTTAGCACCCACATGGCAGACTGAATTCCAGCCTCTGGGGGCCTGGTGCCCTCTTCTGGCCTCCACAGGCACTGCATGCACACACACAGACGTGGGTAAAATACATTAAAACTCAATTGTTGTAGGTATCAACTACAAGAGGACTGAGAACATATGTCCTCACAGGCGTGTGTACAAATGTTCTCAGCCACCTTGTTCCCAAAAGCCTCCAAAGCAGGAACAACTAAAACACCCATCGGCTGATAAAGGTATACCAACCATCCGTATAAAGGAGGTTCTTGACCGCTCTAACATGGCTGAACCCTGGAAACGTTATGCTAGGTGAAAACGCCTGGCCTGTATAATAGGTCACATACTGTATGATGCTGTGTAGAAAAGTGGGCAGAGCAGGCAGAATTATAGAGATAGATTAGTGTTCATCAGTTGGCACAGAGGACAGTGACAGCTAATGGCTTTAGGGTTTCTTTGTACACTGATGACTGGAATTAATAGGGGTGATGCTTACAATATGTGGATTCCAACTCATTAGATATTATAAAAATATCAGTTCCCAGAACCCACATAAAGGTGGATGAAGAGAAACAACTCCAGAGTTGCCCTTTGCCCACATGTGCCGTGGTACACACCATCTTACACATACAAGCTTGAACATTCCAAAATATATGTGCTATTATCTATTGATAATTTACTGAGAAGTCGAATAACTTCCAACACAGATATTAGGTCTATTAGGTGTTCACGTAATTTATAATTTTTATAAGAAAAAAACATGTTTTCAAAACAAAGCCACCCATATGAAGACCGGGACTGCTTTCATCTTTTTACAATTGGCTTTGATTTGGGGATTAACTGAAGACAGATGGGCGCTCGTGTCTCACTTTTCCTTTCGACCTTTGGAAATGTTGCTCCGGTGCAGCACATGGAAGGCGCCCAGGCTCTCTCGGATGTGTAGGATGGATGGAAAGCGGAGGCGTATTCTAATAGCTTTCCCAGATAATGGTGTGTGTTTTTCCGTACCAAAACTCAACAGATGGCACTTTAAAAAAAAAAAAAAAACAACTAGTTTTGAAGGCACATCTGAGTGCTTTCCATTTTCTACGTTGTGAAGGAGGCAAAGAGTCTTATGTTGAGAAAAATAGTTTTTGTCTTAGGGATCTCTGAAAAGTGCTGGGGACCCTCAGGGACCCCTGAACCATGCTTAGAGAATTGCTCTCCAGACCAATGTGGCCCATGTCATGATGGCCACCAGGGGGCAGCGCATGAGCTAGTGCTAACTCCAGCCGAGCGTGTGCGTGTGGCAGGGGAGTAGGGCCCAGCCCTCAGCCCCTGCCATCCCAAAGGTCCGTCCCTGCACCCAAGCTTCCCAGCTGCACTAGACATTCCACCCTGGTCCACACTTCAGGAAAGAACTGCCAACCAGCCAGATGCACAGGCTCCATGGGCAAGCCAGGCACCTCCAGACCGTCCCCCAAATGGCGCTGATGTAATCCAGAAAAACAGGCAAGTGCGAAAATCACTAGCTCAAGGCTGAAGAGATGGCTCTCTGCATAAAGGTGCCTATCACCAGGCCTGATGGTCTGAGTTTGATCCCGGGGCCTACACGGTGGAAGGAGAGAGCCCACTCCTTCAGGTTGTCCTCTGACCGCGACACGAACACGTGCTACAGTGTGTGCTGCTTCCCCAAATAAATCAATCAAGAATAAAAATAACGCCATGGCCACCAGGAAGCTTAAACCTGTGCCCCGTTCCCAGCCTCTAGTGCACTGTGGGGTGGTTGTTTTTGTTTCCATTTCTGTTAGCTTGTGAACAGCATGGTCACACTGCCACCGGAGTGTGAAATGCTTTACTCTGCCTGAAGTAAATATTTTTAAAACACACCACTCATACGCTGTTTTTCCTAACATTCTGGGAGTGTCGAGAGACGGAAGGGCTAGGATCCAGGTAGACGGGTTCGACACGGGCTACCCAGCTCTGCCCCCACCCTGCAGGGGGCGCTGTGCTCAGAGCAGGAACCCCTGAACCCAACAGCCAGTTTCTCTATGGCTGGACACAGAAGTGAGGCGGCCTCCATGGTCTGCTGGCCACTCTATAGAAGCAGAGGAGAAAGGGGGTGACCCTGGAAGACAGGAGCAAGCTGTGCACTGGGAAGACCTTCTGCAGAAGCCTCTAAACTGTGACAGGATGAGCCAGGAGAAGCTGGGGGAAGGGGAAGAACCCCGCGACTGAACTCTTGACCTCCATGATGGCAGAGAATGAAAGGGAGTCAGAAGGTGAGGAGGCTCCTCATAGCGTCAAACTGCACCCCTCCCCCAAAGCATCTCTAGGGAATGAATGCTCCGCCTTCCTTCAAGTCATTTCCTAGTGCCACAAACCAGGGCACCCTTACACTGTCCTCCGTGCCAGCGCTCACAGAGCACAGCTTCCCTGCCTCCTGTCACTTCCCGCCTAAGCACAGAGGGTGGCCTTTATGGCAGTGCGGAAGGTTGGGGGGAAAGGGCCATGATCATTTACCACCCCTCCAGGACACGTCAAAGATCTTGCTGCGGCCCTGTTTCCTCACTTGTACCTGGGGGATGGATAGTGGCATGGCTCTCTGCGTGCCCTGTGCCTGATTGTCACTGCTGGGACGCATGGAGGGTGGGCTTCTCCAACCTGAACCCCAGCTCCAGCCCAGTCTACTGCATGAAAAGGTGCCAATCACTGCAAGACAGACAAACCTACAGCCAAAGGCTGCGGGGAGATCAAGAGAGATGGAGGGTGTCACTTCCAAGGTGTGGGGTCACGGCACTGGCTGGGCAGGGACACCTGGATGGCAGAGCCACTGAGGTGGCTCGGAATGAAGGCCAGAGACAAGAACACAGGGACTGCCGTTCCCACCCTAGGCCGTGGCTGGCACCTCTGAAACACGGCTGTCCATCCTTCACACACAGCGGCCACAGGACAGATGGGGGACAGGAAGGGCAACCTGAGGAGGCCCATTTTAGGAGCCTGCCAGAGTCGGCTTGGGTGTGCCAAACCTCTCTGGGCTGAGCTGGCTGCCAGCTCCCTGACTTGGCAGCCGATGACAGCCTCACCATGCCACCCCATCCCCCTCTACCCAAGTGCTCCTCTGCCAAGCTGCATACACACCACCCAACATGCCTGGTCCTCACTGAGGGAGGACTATGACTCAGACATTCTTAAGAGTTCAAGACTAGCCTGAGCTACATTAGAAAGACCCTGTCTGAAAAAAATATCAAGGGCTAGTAGTGTAGCTCAGTGGTAGTGAGCCTGCCTAGCGTGCACAGGCTCATGGTTCGATGCCCACACACACACACAAAACTGGGGCCTCACAGCCTCCATCAACAATACTGAGTGTGTTAAATGTGCGCCTTGCCTGTTTGTTAATAATTTATGAGGGAACAAAACAGAAGTTCATAAATGATGAGGAAGCATGAAGGTAAGCCCGCCTATTCAGAAGGAAGGGTAGAACTAGCCTAGAGGAGAACACAGGCAAATGGACAGAAAGCTGGTCACTTCCTCTGTTAACCAGAGAGAGGAGAGGAGAGCACACAGGGTCTCTAAGGTCATCTGAGCTGTGACGGGCAAGAGTTTAGAGGCGTGTTTGAGTTCGTGTAATGTGCACAGTAGCTGTGCATGTTGGATGGACCCACGTCAAGACTGCTGGGGGTGGGGAAGACCCCGGAACCCTGGACACTGGCTCAGTGATCCTTGCCCGACCTTGCAGTGACATTTCTATCCCCTCACGCTGTGGCTCCGTGGCCCTGTGGTCTCTCCTTTCTATCCCTTGTTGCTCAGCACAGAACCCGTCCCAGGGATTATCTGCTAAACCGAGCTGTTTCACAGAGAGACGGCTCTTCTCAAATAAGCATGTTTAACTGAAAACCAGATGTGCAGAGAGCAGACGGGCTACAACAGGCAGGCTCTGTGACTGGCTGGTCCACGGGCAGTTTGTTCCTTGAGATTCCCCATGGGTCATCTGCCATGTGGCAGTGAATGGCTCTGACAGCTCAGCTGAGCTCCCTGGGGGCTCTGAGGCACCCACAGGCCCTTTGTGGGGACGCTGCTGCCTCCTGGTGTCTCTCATCCTGTGCTGGATGAAGCAAGTTGAGCAGACACGCTCAGGGGCACCTCAGTGGAGGCTATGGG